ATATGCGAGAGTTATGTATTACATTTTACTACCATCTTTATTGCCAAGTAATTGCCATTTTTGGCGTTTAAAGCGTTGACGCTAAAGTTTTTCACAATATAGTTTCAGCTAGCAATAGCGGTATCATTCAAAATTAACTCAATTCTTACAAAATTTAAGGAAGGATAAAGGAATCATTCTAAATAAATCTTGGAATGCTTTCACAAAACTAATTGCTGTATGATTTATAACCTTTACTTCCAGATTTGTCTATTCATTGTACTAAATTAAGTTGGCATAATCTGAATCTCACGAACTTGTATATTGAATCAGCCTTTCTATACGTTTTCAACATCCAAACGATTCTTTTAAAAGAGTTGCAGCAAACTTCCAAAAATGTTTACTTGATTGTTTCTGTCTATAGGAAGATACTACTCTTTGAACAAAGTTACATTCGAAGTGTGAGTATAAATGTTTAGATATTAAAATTTAATAGTGATATTGAGTTTTACTAATTATGGGAAATTAGTAAAACATGGGAAACAAACTTTATTTTGTCACTTTGGGCAGCCTGTTTTGATTGCTCTTTGTTAAAAATTTATATAAATCACAGCTTTTCATTAATTTTTATAATATTAGACATAAATTTTAACAGCTTGCATTTCAGGTTTAAATAAACATCTAAGTAAACAGATTATTCTATCCTATAATAAAAATTGTCTTTTGTCAGCCATCAAAAGTGCTTCGAATTTTAAAACGACCTATAAACGTATCTTTTAAGTCAGCGATTTCTATCATAAATGCAAAAATTATAATTGACCTCTATAATAACTTCAATGCAAAATACTCTTTACTAGAATTTCCTGATAACTTCTAAAATTTTTTAAATATTTTAAAAGACAAGATCAAGTTAAATAATCATCTGCATTTACATAGCTATATAGTTTTAAAATAAGCCATACCTACTGCACGCAAAAGCTCTTACTCGTAAGAAGCTGGCCGTATTATATTAATACACTCTATAACAAAAAAATCGACGCACCAAGAACGCACTAAGATGCGAAAAATCAACGCTCGATCAGGCTGGAATGATGCCGACTGGGAACGTATAGTCTTTAGCGACGAATCCCGCTTCCAACTGTGTCCTGACGATCATCGAAGAAGTGTTTGGAGACGCACAGGGCAGAGGGAGGATCCTGCCTTCACTATTGCACTCAACAAGGCATTATGGTCCGGGGTGCCATTTCTTTTGACAGCCGGACCCCTTTGGTCGTCATTAGAGGTACACTTACTGCACAGCGGTACGTCGACGACATCCTAAGACCTGTTTTGCTACCGTTCCTTTTGCAGCGCCCTGGGCTGGTTTTTCAAAGGGACAATGCCAGACCACATACGGCATGTGTTGCTATGAACTGTCTGCAAGCTTGTCAAACTCTTCCTTGGCCTGCCAGATCACCAGATCTCTCTCCCATCGAGCATGTCTGGGATATGATGGGAAGGCGATTGCATCTGGCACGGAATGTTTATGACCTCGTTCGACAATTGGATTGAATTTGGCAGGGAATACCGCAACAGACCATCCGGGAGCTTTATCGGTCTATGCCACGCCGTGTGGCAGCTTGTATCCAGGCTAGAGGCGGGTCAACACCTTATTGAACTTGCTACTGTAACTCTGCAATAAATTATTCAATTGTTCTGAAATTTGAATCATTTACTATTCGGTATATTGTCATCCTATCGAGTTTTCATCAATATTTTAATTTGTTCATAAGTTCTTGCAATTTTATGAGGGTTTTTTTCTCGAAGTTCTTCTCACTTTTGTTTATTTCAAATAATGACTATTTATTTATTCTTTTGGAAAATTTTATTTATTTCTCTCGAAATCATTATTTTATAAGATTACGTTTGAGTTCGTGTCATGATTAACAAAAGAAAAATATTAAATATTACTGAAACTTAGATGTATATTGAAATTTTAAAAACATGAAAATTGTTTTACAAATATCTACGCGTTAGTGCTTTATATTATACTAAAGGACCCACACATACTACGCTAATTCACTGGAGATTTATGATTTAAGTAATTTATAAGTACATCACAGCTCTACTATGTATGCTGATAATCTAAATAAAATGAATTTCTCAAGCAACGCTTACTTCCTGTGAAACGTTTGATTCTTATGTATATTCATGTTGTATTCATCATAATTTTATTTTCTTTCATTTCAATTCTACTAATAAATAACATTCGGAGCAAATAATTCATAACATTTCTTAATTTAGAATATTTTAATTTATAGAGCCTGGAGGCACACAAGTTTTAGGTCATTTTTTGTATTCTAAGCTCATAAATCTATAAAAATATCAAAGAACAAGGTAAAGAAATGGAGAAAATATTTCACATTTATATGTGTTGCGATTTAATTCATACTCGATTGTAAATTTTAGTTAAAACATAGTCTATTCTCATCTTTAAAAAATTTTCAGAGTTAAACTTATTCGAAAAACCAATGATAAAAAAATAATTGCTTCACTCACTCCGTCGAAACAATAGTAATCTTATTTAAACATATAACTGCAAGAAAAAATTCTTACAAATTTGATAATGTATTCAGTTTTATTTACGACATCCTCATGCTTTATCTGATATGAAGAATATCAGATAAAAACGGTTTAAAACATCAAGCAAATTTCCCGAACGGTTTTACCCACACTACAAGTTTTCAATATATAAACAAATAACTTGAAACTCGGTTGTTTTATATTCGCAATTTTTATTGGTGAAGTCCTCCCTTCACCAATAAAAATCGCGAATTTTAGAATGTCTCTCACAATGTATTATTCTTCGAATTAAATCGTATTAAAATCATAGTTTTCTTAAAGTCAATGAGTTATCGTGAAACCTGTTTCGTTTAAAGCGGTGTATACCTAAAAATTAGGATGTTTTGCGCTAGATCAGTGCTGTTTCTCAGGTAAATGTATGCTGATTATGTTAAGTAAAAATATGCATACTGAAAAATTTATGTAACAAAAAGAGCTGATTAACGCTTTATGTGGTAGCAATGCTACTGTGAATGACCGACATTTGTGGTTGCTGATTTCTACCGGTAATGGTTGACAATCACATAGTCGATTTGGCGAATGTCCTAAATATATGCTAGGTGCAGTTAAGTGCCGCTGCCTGGTATACATTTGCACGGTATGGCTTACATCAATGTTTTTCAAGGTCAAGTGTCACTGACGAGTTAACCGGTACTCCGAACCTAATATATCCTCATCAGATATTAACATATCGAATAAATATAATAGTATCAACGAATAAATTAATATCAAATTGGATGGAACAAATATTTCGAACACTCATCAAAGCGACTATGTGATTGTTGACATTTACCAGTGAAAGTCAACATTATCTTGATTTCGGTCATCCGCGGTAACAGCAGTAAAAAGTTATCGGATTTTCGCAAAACTATTGGATGAAAATATCTATAATCAAATAATTATTTTAAAATACTACAGTTTTCACATAACTATTTACTTGGTATTTGTTTTAGGTAAAAATGTGGAAAGAAATATTTGTGCTCGTAGCAATAGTTTCTGTGGTATATTCTGAAAAGTGTGAAAAAGATATCTGTAGCCGCGTTAGATGTCAAAACCCTGTCTGTAAGGATGGAGAAGTAATTAAAGAAAAAGGGGGCTACTGTGGCTGTTGCGATAGTTGCGTACCAAGTAAGTGTATCTCTAAATGTCTAGATACCCACTTTGTACAAAATAATTTTTTACCATTGGTGAAACCTAAGCCGTGATGGCTCGGATGATAAAGCGTTCGCCTTTTAATGAGGTGAACCGGGTTTTAATCCCAGCAATGGCTAGTCGTTACGAATGCCGCACCCGGCTTGTACCGACCACAACGTAAAATATCCTCAGTGGCCGACGAATCACGGGTTAGAGTTCCCTTGCCATCAAGCTAACCGCGGGAGCTTTATTGATCTATGTAGCGCAAATGCGGGTCAATTCCATCAAAAAGTCGTTCAAATTTCTTCCAATACTAGATCCTGAAGTTCTCTTGTCTTCTGGATTGGGATCAAAATTACAGGGCTTCGGAGTTGAATATTAGCAATCGCAAAACCAAAAGAGTAGGGTCAGCTGATCAGCGACTTGCTGTAAAATTAAATACTGATGATATCTAATCGAACAATTCCTTTCATATAAAATTTCAGAATAAACTTCTATAAAAATGTGTCTATCTCTTTTTAAATTAAAAACTTTTTTCCTCATCCTTATTTTATAGTTGTTTCCAGAAACAAATTATGCTACAAAATTTTTCTTTACTCCAGTAAATACTTTAAACAGTTTTGTTTTTACCAATAAAACAGAAAAAGATTGCTTCAGAGCCCTGCCTTCATATTCAAATCGCCTATGCCTTAGCAGATTATCGGCAAAAGGGGAAATTCTAAATGTCCTGCTTCATATCTGTTTGCAGGACCAAAAACAGCAACATTGAAAATACCAGGGTTGTTTTTTTAAGTGAGGGCCGTTTGAAAAGGCAAAACAAGCAAAAGAAATTTTTCACGAAGCAAATTTATTTTCATATTCTACTTACGTTTCTATTTCTTTAAGTACAGTTTGTTTAAGCACTTAGCATATCTTAAAATATTGTCGGAAAAGATTAAAATGAATCAGCGCAAAGTTCGGGCTGTAGAGAGGATTAGTCCAAAACTTCCCAGGGAAAATAGTCCAATAAAGCAGGGATCTGAGCTGTGGAGAAAATCAACGTCATAAAAAATAAAATACTTCGCACTTTTCAGATTAGTCCAAAACTTCCCAGGGAAAATAGTCCAATAAAGCAGGGATCTGGGCTGTGGAGAAAATCAACGTCATAAAAAATAAAATACTTCGCACTTTTCATGAAAAATAAAATAATAAATAAAATAATAAATAAATACCTGTCAAAATGGCAGGGAATTTTGTAACTTCCCAAATCTGCCAGGGAATGTATGCAGCAGGCAGGTTTTTTACCGACTTAAAGCGCATCACTGACCATATCTCGAGCTTGGCCAGACATTTGTTAAATTTGAACATTTTAACGACACAGAATACTTATACAGGCTGCAAATGAGCACACTTGTTACTCAGGAATGCCGGTATCAACGAAATGGCTTTTACTTAATATACAGCCCTCGTATGTTTGTCCCCGTGAAAGCGAAAATTTAGTATTCCTTTATATCCATTAATCGTATACTTGCAAGTGACGTTGTCCTAGGAATATCATGACATTTGAAAGAAACCAGTGAAGTTCACTTCCCACGCGTGACGTCATTAACAGGTATCCAATAAAATCTGATTTAAATCACATGATCAGGTAATTTCACTTCTTCTCGAGTTGCAAGCATCCAATGTCATAACATGACCCAAAGACGAATTTTTTTTCTGTTTTATAAAAGTCTTCAAAAATGTATAGTATTTTTTTTTAAAAAAAGTTTAGATTTACTAGCTTACATGCATACTTAAAAAATATGTTTTCTATTTATTAAGAATAGACTGGAAGGCATTATGAGTTAATTTAAAAAATTGATGACAAAATCATTAATACTTATGAAATGAGAATTTCCTTCTGTGTATTTTAATTTTAGGATGTGTGATATTATTTTATTTTTGTTCACTTAAATAAATGCATGATGAAATGATTTTAATTGCAGAAGAAGATTGCGTCAAGGTATATATCTTTGGACGTCCTACGTATTATTGTTTCAATAAACCAACAACCACGCCCAAGCCGGATTGTATCAAGATAAATATCATGGGATTTCCTACGTGCATTGATTTAAATAAATCGACAACCACACCCAAGCCAGAATATACCAAAAAGAAACGACACAGTCACAAATGCCCTGGTTCTTAACTTGGAAATGTTCGCAGGTGCTGAAACAGGAAATTTGATCATTGCAACTTCAAGAAACGGGATGCATAATATTTCTTTCTGCAATTAAAAATGCGAGGTTATTTTATGCCTTGCTATTCAAAAATATGATTCCATGATTCATTAATGCGTTTAACAAACTTTTCAAAAATGTACTGTACTTTTATGTGAATACATTTTCAAAAATGTATTGTACTTTTATGTGAATGCAAATTTTAAATTTACTTAACTGCATGTTAACTTTCCAAATACATCTCACAACAATAAAGACTATATAAAATGGCATTATATGTTTATTTTTAGTATTGATTGTTAAAACAGAATCGACATCACAGAAGAAACTACATTTAGTGGAAATTAGAAAAGAAAAGTTGGCTTGATGTTCGAAAAAATTTTAGAACAATCGCTATATTATTTATATGGAAACAGACACTTCTCAAGAATTCTCTTTCTTTTCAAGTAAAAGTGGATTTTCTGATTTTCTTGCACTTTTTTTCCCCTTACTCTTTAACATTTAACTTGCGCCTCTAATGTAAATAAATGAAAGGTAGGAAATTTCTGGAATTTACAAAATGAAAAACTTATAGAGAACATAATACCTCACACAGAAATTTCTTAGAATTGTATAGTTCGAAAAATAAAAAATAAAAAAATTTTGTATCTAAATGACTTTTTTTATCGATCGTTATACACAAACTATTATACCCTATATAATACTACAAACAAAGCACACGGGGAAAAAATCTGGTAAAATTACCGAATTGCATGGTAATGACATTTCTAATATAAAAACAATATATAGTTCTGTTAATAAAACCAAACTATATGTTATCTATAAATCATTCATTTGGTATTTTCCAGTTCATATGGTAACGGTTTACCGGATGCTCTGGTTCTCAAAATTACAGTTTTTAATACCAGACATTTCATAAAAAATGCAAATCATAAAAGTAAATTTTTCCGAATAAATGGTTTTTATGCCATGCTTTTAAAAATCATGATGAAATAAGCAAATTTTGCCGAATTCAATAAATGTTATCACATATTATAATATTATATTTTATGGTTAATTTTACTATAATTATTATCGAAGTGTTTTCGTAAAACTTAAAAAACTTTTTATGTATCCCAGAGAGCCAGAAACACGTAATTTTTACCATATTCTGGTAGTTTTGAATATCATTTTACATACCTTTCTCAATATCACACTTTTATCATACATATGTACGTTTAACATCATATTTTAAGTAACTTTAAAATTTAACATAACTTTTAACATACTTTTATCGGTATTTCAGTATCTTACAAACTTTTGGGTATTTTGGGAGTTTCATCTAATTTTAAAGGATAAGAGGAGGAGAGGCTTAAGAGTTAAGGAGGGCTGTTGGCTATCTTTATGACTCAAAGGAATCATCTCAAATATGCAAATAAATTAGAGATAAATTAGAGATAATAAACATACCTTTTTTTTACGAATTTCGATTTTTGTCTAACAAAACAGGGGGGGGGTGGAAAGTAACGGCAATCATATCAACATATGGTTCTTGGGAATGGTAAAAGCTTGAGCCTCTCAATATTAATTTCACTTTTTGGGCGTTTTCAATATCTCAGGAAATTTTTGCCACTAATCGAATAGTTTTGCACAAGACTATATGGCATATGGCAAGAAGCCATATAGTCTCCCATTGAACGGGAGGTAGATATGGACCATGCAATGAATCAAGGGATGGAATTATTTTACTGACTTAGAACTTCAAACACCAATTTCGCATTAAAAAATTCTTATTATTTTAAGAATCTGAATACTTTTTTCTAATTAATTCATTGAACTATTATATGTTATACACTATTAAATACTATAAACTATTATATATTATGACCTATTAAATGCTATAAACTATTAAATACATCGAGCCAGTTTCAGCTTTTTATTTTTAAGCGCAGAAGGTAATAATTCAAAAAGCTCTGAAATTTTGTGGTAAATACATGATAAATGCATAATAGGTAGTATGGCTCCACTAGGAACTGATCATAAGGGTGGGCTGATCCTAAAAGTGAACTAATCATCAGAGTAGAGCACCGAAGTCAAGCATCACAGCCTGCTGTAAGAGTGAGGTTGGGTGGCCACTTTGATCAGTCAACGAAAGGACCGAGGGTGTGCGGTATAGGTTCTCGTAAACTGCTCGACTTTGTGCGCAGGTCGTTGGGCTACCAATGCGGGGAACCATCCCTTCCGCAGAGGATCAAAATTGTGATGGCATGTCTTCGGATCATCTTCAGGGATGTTTCCCAGACCGTCGCCATTGTTCTGCTCCTGTGAGACATAAATAAACAAATATAACAACTTACCTTTTTTACATTATAAGCATGTCTATTAATATAACATACGCATTCTAGCAAACATATCCTTATTTTAATTTCTGTATTTTAGAAATATCTTTTAATTCATAGAAATATCTTTTAGAAATATCTTTTAATATCTTTTAATTCATATTGAAAATAGGAAATCGGTACGAATAACAATATAGTGTTGTACCTTGGACCATTGGATGTTACTCCTTAGAAAACACTCATTTTCATATCTTCTGCTCTTAACTCCCTAGATGATTGAACTAGGATATTTATATTAATATTTTTCATATAGTCTGTATAAACTAAAATAAATCGAGACTAAAAATAATAACAAAAATTATTTTACTGGAATATTTCTGAAATCTGTACATTTTGTTGAGAAATTAAAAAAAAATATTACATATTGTTAGCGGCATAGCCCACAAGGAAAACGTTTTCATACTAACTGAACCTTTTGCACATACCATAGACCGCTCGAAGCACACACTTATTTGACTTTATTAAGCCTAAAAAAATTATTTTATAATTTTTTTAATAATTTTATTTTATATTTTTGTTATTATAATTTCGTGAGAAAATTTCAGACTGGTTTTTTTTTGGTAAAAATAAATTAACATAAATTAATCGCTACTCCATATTATGAAACATTTTCATCAAATATCAAAATTACTACGTCATTGTGAAAAAAACAATCATAATTTTCTATTAATCATGTTAAATAATTTTACCAGCTTAGCTGTGACAAAATATTTAAAACACATCTGGTACGAATGCATTTATAGTTGTTTCAGTAAGCAGAATTCAGTTCACTTTTCATTTGCAGAACTGAAATTAGAAGTTTTTGTAAGTATTTTATATGTCGATATTATTTTAATTGTTGAATAAATCCTTTTGATACAATTGATACAAATTGTTTGAGTAACTACTGTTACATAATATTTTTTTAAAACTACCTTAACGTTTATTTCATATCCAAGTTACAGTTTCACATTAATTTCCGGTTAAAGTTCAATTTGTAATAACGTTTTGCCTAATTTCGATCAATAATATTTGCTACTTAACAAATAGTTTGTTCCTAGCAGAATGTATTTCAACATTTTTATATGTAAATGAGTTGTGCATTTTTTTGTTCAATTTTTAACTTTTTTTTAACTGGAACAAAAACTATGATGAATGTGCAAACTAAACTTTAATGTTTTCATGAAATACCTAAGGAGAGTTTTTAATTCTTAAAAAAAGTATATTGTGAAGGAATAATGCTTCTGAATTATTGTGTCAAAAACTTCATGAATTTTACTGATTTACTGATTTTTGTTTAGAAACACGTGAAAATTCGAATTTGTAAGCCAATCTCCTATTAAAGACAATTATTTGCAATATGATTGTGGCAACAGTAATGAAGTAATTTCATGGAAAACAAATATACAGTATGTTACTCTTCCATGAAACATTGGAGAGTAACATACTATAAAACAGTATGCTACTCTTCTATGATCCAACAAATGAAGTTCAAAAATCAAGTCACGAGGCGACCATGTAATCCTGTTTTAGTTATTTTTCTTACACGTTGGCAGCAAAAAAGTGACAATATATTTGGATAAATTTAAACTCGAATGTGTTTAAACTTGCAATTCTTTTATTTCATTCAAACACAAACCAATTAAAGCCCTGACGATTGAAATATGCAATTTATACATGCAATATTAATTTTGAAACATACATTTTCGACATTTGAGTTTAAAAATATAAACAAGCATAAACCCGTGAAATTTATTGCTCTTTCCGATTCAAAATGTGAAATATTCAACAAATTCGACAATCGACATCGAGTTTAACGGAGGAGGAAGAATGTTATAGTATATGCAGTAAAGCCCAATTAATGTCAGTTGTCAATTTTCAGTCAACTAAATAAATATATAGATATTTATAACGTATTCATATTGTGCTAAATTTTAAATTTTGATACCTACCATATATCAATTGTCTATGGCAAAATTCACATGGCATTGTTTGTATTTTAAATAAGTTTATTTTTATAGATTCATTTTTTTTTAAATAAAAGCAAATAAAATTACGTTTTCTATATTTGGTATGCCTTGAATAAAAAAATTCAAAGTGAAATATTTAATTCATGTAAACAAACTATGTTCTATTTTTTAATTATGCTGATAATTAATTTGCACAGGTTCATTAATGATTTAGAGTGTAATTTATTTTAATAAAAATTTTATGCTAGTGAAGTTCTATAATTGATTCAGGATAGTGATGAATTTTATAAAGAAAGACAGATTAGTTGTGATTTTTACTTTCATTCAACTAGTTTATGTTAGAATGAAAGGCATAAAACTTCATAAAATATTCATAATCATCTATATAAAGATGTTCTATGATTTGTTTCAAATGTTATTTCCTAGTAGCATTGAAATAGAAACTCATTCGTTATGCATATAAATCAAATCAATGTTCCACAAAATGCTTGTTGCATATATGTTTTTTTAAAAAAAATTGCTAACTTACATAAAATGCAAAATTAAAATATGTAAGTGCATCAAAAGGGAGAGAAAAGCGATCACAATTTACAAAGCAATCCGAAAAAAAGTTTCTGGTGAGTGGTGGAGACTAACAAACGCAGAGAGCTGGAGTACAATGTCCCTTAAAAATAGAATTTCGAAAGTACAGATATTATATCTGCTATAGGAAAATAATAATTTCTGGGGATAATTTACATTTCGAGTCTTTACGTAGTCTAGATTGAGTATAGAGTTAAATATATTAAAATATTACTTTTTCTTAAGTTTACCGCTGCTAAGGAATTATAGAAATTTATATAATATGATCTTGAAAAAAATGTAAGTTATCTAAATACTTAACAAAATTTTTCAAACTAGTAATTTACATTTAACTGCTACTGCAACAATCTGCTAGAAACCTCAATTTACATAATTAGCAAAATAATTAGTATTCCGATTTTAAGGTTTAAAGAAATAAATACGCAAAAACATTATTTTTTTTTTAATTTTTAATTCTTTTTCTTTTGTTAATAGAATTTTTTAAAAAGATGACAAATATTTTGGAAAGGTGCAATAAAAAAAACAGCTAAAAAATATTGATAAAAAATTCGAAAAATTCTAAAATTCATACTCATTCATAAAATTTTTATTCGACTCATTCATACTGTTATCTCTTAAAAAGGGAACAAAAGATATAAGAAAATTTGTAAATCAATTGTGTAACAAACTACTGTTAATAATTATAAGCACCCACCTTTATTTATAGTTTACTTAGGATGTAAAAATCGCTACTCTTTTATTTATCTTAATTTCCATAATAATAAAAACCAATCACAATTTTAATATTTTATATTAAACCTCACCCCCTGACGTTGTTCAGGGATCCCTAAATCAGTTTTTATCTTTCACGGACCCCCTGAATGGTACCACGGACCCCTGGGGATTCATATGGACCACTTTGGGAAACGCTGTTCTAGATGCAAAGTTTTGAACAGATTCCGAATCTTCTTGTTTACATTGCGCTAAAGGGTGTAAATTTGTAGCTAATGGTATAATTTTCTGGAACTTTTGGATCAAAAGATTGCTAAATATTTCGAAATTATTTGTGTTAGTAATTTCTCAATCTATTTTTAAATGATTAGCAACTGAATCTTTTAACTTTAATTTAGCTATAAAAAAATTTTCCTGGTCTATCCATTGAATTAAGAGAGCTATTAAATTTAATTGTCCAGAAATTCCATAACAGTTAATTCGTCACTATCACGGCGATGTTCGGGTAATAAATTTATGAAATCTGAGTTATTTTGGAGAATATTATTTTCTCGTACTTCCACACGTTCAGGTGATCGTTAACGTCTTCTACTCATTTTGGCTCAACATATTTTGAATTAAACAACTGCAGAAATTACACTAAAACTGTAGACGCACGTGGCAAGACTCAGATAAAAAAAATTTGGCGTGACAGCTAAGTTAATTTCTATTCCTAATTATTAAATTAAAAAAGAAATAATTATTAATTTTAAACAATCTTAATTACTTTAAAGTAATTAATTATTAATACCTTAAAACCATTCATTCACATAACGAGATTGTTAGGATAGAAAACCATGTGTCGAAATTAAAATTATTTTCAATGTTCCCTAGCATTTTAATTTTTTTTTAAAAATACCGTGTTTTTTTTCATCGGCACAAATGTTTCAAAGATGAATTACATTGCATTGTGATTTATGAAAGATTTAAGAAAGTTCAACATTATCTATATTGTCACTCATGGATCTAAATACTCTTAACGATAATAAACTAACTTAACTTAAATTCATACCAACACAACAAATCTACAATTTAGTTTTAAGTTTAATCTCGATTATATTAGCTGATTACATATTAGAACAGAATACTTAACAAGCAGTTTATTATTGTACAGTACAAAATTGCTACGTACCTCTGTACCACACCTCCCTCAGCGCAACCTTTGTTGTCAGGTTCTCTACATCAACTGCCGCACTAGTTCGAACTGTGTTCTTACTTTCTTGGCAGACTATCCCTTGCGTGTGGTGTAGTCGAATCCTCGCCGTAACAACACTTCTCATATTTCATACCTTGCCTAAAAAAATCCGGCAATGCCGGCGTTTCATACTTTGCCTGGTAACGTATATCCAATCTCCTATTAAAGACAATTATT